AGTTTTTTCCCCCCCCCCCCCATTTAGTGTAGTGCTAGTAGAGAGGGGAGGAAGGCTTGTCTCTTGAAGATACCCATGAACTTTCCTTGGCAACAATACAGAAGGAGTTGCCATTGTCTCTTTACGGGACGTTCTTTTTCCCCTGCCCAGTCTAGCCTACAGAGTTGGGACCTCTTGGAGATTCCCATCCAGACTACCCAGGCCAGAACCCACTTAGCTTTCTTGATCAGCCAACTCTGGCTAGATGCTGCCACTCGCTGCAGTAAATTCCAGACATCTTCTTACGAATACAGATGTTCTGGAAGCTAGTACTTTGTTCTGCAAGATGCCAGCTTCCCCGCTCTTTGTTAATCAAAAGCCAAAAGCTTTTTCCCCGTCCTAAAGGCCAAGGAGACAAGAAGACTGGCATTGAATCCAAGGGCTCCCTGGTCACCATCCTGGCAATGCCGAAGAAGCAAATCGGTTTCAGGGTCCCTTCCAACTCCGGAAGAGATCTCTTACTTTTTGCCCAGCGCCGAAAGCCCATAGAGCAGTCCCGTAGCAAAGGCGATGGCGTTGCCGATCAAGGTGGTCAAAGTCAGGCTCAGAATAACTGGGAATATAGCCATTCTGGGAAGGAGGAGAGAAACCGAGGAAAAAGACTCAGCTAGCCACGAAGGTTTACCCAGGGAAGATTCCAAACACAGGGAAGACAGACACTGGCAAAATGATACCCAGGTTTTGTGTCTTAGGAATCTTTAGCTCTCGCCAACCAGATATTCTGAAGCCAAAATCAACCCAACAGTGTATTAAAACAAACAGTAAAACCCAATGCCCATCTCTCTACCCACCCACTCCCCAAAACCCATTCAGGTTTAAAAGCTAGGGTGTTATGCTAAAATCCCTGCTTTTAAATCAGGGATGCATGACAGGTAACCTTACAGATATTGGACTCCAGATTCCATCATTCTTTACTCACCCACAATAGAAAACTGCTTTCTGCCACGGACGGAGCTTGTCTGCCCTGGCTGAGACAACATTTGCAAACTCTATGAACTGGCAACAGAACGGAGCTTCGCACAGGATGAGAATGAAGGCGTTCAACCTTAGGAATAAGAAACTGGATTCAACCCGAGGCAGTTCTCATCTATCCTGGCCGACCCACGGAAATACAGCTGTACCATCCCTCTGGAAATGCCTTCCCTTCCTAGCCAGCAATTTGAGGCTATCCACAGAAGTGTACTCAGCTAGTAATGGGTGAAAACAAATAATGGGTGAACCCGATCCCAGATTCGACCCAGAAAGCTGAGTTTACTTACATCATCCAAACTCCGGCTGCTATGTTGAGAGGGTAGATGGTCATGCACATCCAGAGGCCGGAAAAAGCGCAAGCTGGACGAGAAGGAAGGAAGACGTAGATGTGAAGAAGCAACAGGTACCAGGCACAGCCAAAAGCAGGGCAGTGAATTGTTTCTCTGGCCGAAGGATCAGAAGCCAGATGTCTGCACCCCAGAAAGAAAGGTTTAAAAAATTCAAAAGACAAGCCGTGCCTCTTGAGAAGCAAGGAAATTGTGCCCTATTTGCATAATTTGTGCAATGAGTGTTTTGCATCCATTTTCATGTTTTGCTAAATTTCTCTGTCTTAAGGAAAAGATGTCTGTAAGCCCAGCTGGACCCCTGGTAACTGCATTCATATACTCAGCTTGACAGTGTTATGGAAATGCTTGGTTCTTCCAGGATGTTTTTTCCAACTTTCCAATCTAGTTTACAAGCCCTGGGATTTCCTGATGGTGTCCCCTCCAAGTACTTACCCCATCTGACTGGCATAGCACTGAGCTCAGCTCAGCCAGATGCTGCCATTTGCTGAAGCTGTCCCATCTTTGATTTCTCTCAAAGGCAGAATAGCAGAGGCAGTTTATAAAGATGGGAACTGGAAGCAGGTGGTGGGGGTCAAAAAGAAGCCATACCGCTTGGATTTTGAAGAAAAGAGAGGGACACGGTGGCCAAATGCTTAAGATGAGCTTGTGAGCTCCTTACCAGGAGATCATCACATTACATTACATTTGCAACATGATCTTCCCCACTGAGCAGAGCATCCATTCCATTTAGCGTATCTCGCCAAGTAACTTAATCCCAATACTTTTCAAGGAGTCTGAGCCTTGCTCAGAGGTCAGACTGAACCAGTGGCTGACTTGACAATAAACATGCCCCCCCAAAGAACTGAAGCCTGTACGGGCTCTCCACCAACAAGCAAAAATGGAATTTAGATTCCCCCCCCACCCCCTCCAAGATAGGCAGAAAACTGAGTCCAGTGAAATTTGGATCAAAGCTGTCCTGCTATGGAAGCAAAGTGCTGCACTGGGCAAGCCTCAGGGGACAGTCTTAGGAGGAGGCCTGCCAGTTCAGACTCATGCCGCAATAGGCTGTGTTCCTCAACACGTATTCCAGGCCAGGCCAAGAACTAGCACCTGCATTTTCAAAACGTGCTATTCTTGGTTAGTTTTATTCTAGTTTATTTTAGCTGATGAATTTATGGTTTGTTCATTGTGCCATCCAGCAACTGTGTTGTCTGGGCCTCTGAGAAGCCCGTACGGGAGACATGAAGGCACTATATTCTTCTTGCCTGGGTTGCTTCTACAATAAATGTCCACAGATAGACTGCTTCTGGTCATGGAGCTTCAATTATCCAGAACAAAAGAAAAGCGCCCTGTTCAGAGCAGCCTGTAGCATCATCTTGTTTCCCTCCACAGCCGCCTGGTTGCCCAATGGAACCCCCCCAAAAGGATCGTCTTAGCCTGCCATTGTTTCCCAGCTGAGATTCACGGACCCTCTTCCTCTTTCTTTCATTTTCCTAATTCTCTTTCACAGCCGTGTAAGCCTGCATCTGCGCCCCATCTTGTGGCAGGGCATTCCACAAATACATTCCCTGTTGCCTCAAGTCAAAAGGGGTCAAATGAACAAGCAATCATTTTGATCAGGGTCAGCTTCCTGCTACGTTTGCCTAAACAACCACCTTGCAAGGCGGGTCTTATGCTCCACCTTGCAAACTGGGACTGAGGAAACTGGACTAGAATGAGGATTACCTAATCAGTTTGCACAACAGGACAATTTTGAATGCTGGGAGCAAAGTCCAGCTATGTATGTCTCTGCTCCAAATCATGAGTCAAATCACATTTTCCAGGGGCCAAAAAAGCAAAAGCCGATCATTTGAGCTGACATTTATAGGCTAAGCGTGGCAGAGGGAAACTTGACAGAATTGCGATCAGATCTCTGCGTTATTCCATAGTCAAGCAGCTTCCTCCTAGCACGCCAGCGTCTCTCTTTTGTATACAGTACAGATCCTGACACTGGCTAAATCAGGAATGGTGCTCACCTCTGCATTTTGAAAGTACAGTAGAGGGAATGATGCAATTTTTTAAAAAGTCTACTCCCCAGTTTTCTATGTATTTAATTCAGCAGGATAAAAAGTCAGTCTGGGCCAAAATTCCAAGTTTGATTTTTTTTAAAAACTTCCTTCCGTCTAAGTAATTGATGGCATTCAACCCTTTGGAATAAAAAATAAACCACCACCTTTAGGCCAGCTTGCAGAAATCTCTGTTTAAACCAGGGCTAAATGGCTGTCTGTCTGGGATCTGAAATCTGCATGTCAGATCCCAGACCGCACTGGACTAATTGACCGCCAAAGTTCCCTCTGATTCTAGCAATCTATGATTCCTGGTGGGGTGTGCCCCAATGACAAAACTTAATGTTTCTGCTAAAAACTTGCATGTCCACTATCACCCTATTTCAAATCCCCATCACCTTGTAGCATCCATCCATGTTAATATCAATGTTATTCCTGCCACCCCACCCCCACCCCCACCCTTCTCATCTCCACGAGGGACTGAGGTAGAGAAATGGCTTACAGCTGATATTTTCACAATAGAAAGTTTTGCGGTAGCTTTCCCCCAACCTCCTGCCTTCCAGATGCATTGGATTCCACTCCCATCACTCCCCAATCAGCTGACTGAGGCTGACGGGCATTGTACTCCAACTGAGCGGAGGGGAGACTGTTTACAGCTGTTTTTTAGAAACAAGCTAGAAATGGCTATGAGGCCTGATAGGATAAATGGATCCTCCATAGCCAGAGGCAGTACACCTCCCAATATTAGATGTTGTAGAGAGAAGAAGGGGAGGATAGTACAGTCTACATCTATTCCCCGGCCAACTTAAAGAGACATCTAGACTTCAGTGCCCACAACTCCTGGGAAAATCCAACGGCCAGAGATGCGTTTATGGAATCTGATCCCCTGCCTGTTCACTCAGCCATTCACACAGCTTGGGGAGAAGGTGGGGCACGAGACAGCAATCAGTAGAGGCATTTCCATAAATAGGCAAATAGAGATGGGGGGGGAGAAATGTATGTATTGGGTGGCGCGGAACAGATCATTCCTGGCATACAGGCACACAGCAAACAAGCAAAGCGAATCGCCCCAGCAGGACAGTTAGTCCCAGGGGAGAACATACTCACAGATGCCCCCCAGTATTCCAGCCAGCTTACACAGCCATTTGTACCACCAAGTCATCCCATCGTCCTCAGTGGAAGCCGGTGCCCCGGCAGCTTCTGGCTGCTCCTCCTGGGAATTCATCCTGCTGCCCCCGCCCTCCGCGTTCGCCTACCCCGCAAGATGGACTGGCCACAGTCCTAGTCCTCAATGCATCCCTTGCGCGCCAGCCCTGCCGCTGCCCGGTGCCTACGGCAGTCCTGGCGGACAATGGAGAGCGCCCTGCCCCCTCCAAGCAGCTGCAGCTTCCCCACACATTGCTCCCTTTGCATTGCATCCTGGGTCCCTCCCCTCTGCGGAGGAGGGCAGGGAGAATCTCTCGCTGGGCTCATCCCCAGATGTGGAGTGACCTGGCCGCAGAGGCGACGGCTCCCCTGTCAATTTCCGGGCTGAAATGGACAAACGGATCCACGGGGATCTGAGGCTACACTCCCTGGCTTGCTCGCTGCCTTTCTTTAGCCTATTAATCTGAAGTCAGGGAGTCGGTTGGCCAGGTACCTAACGACACAGGCCCATAGTACTTCTTTATTTTAAATAAAGGCCGCTACGAAAGAAAATAGTGCTTGTATCCAATAACACCTACAGCCGTCTGCAGAGGCACTAGAAGACCTCCAGTCCCAATAATCTAACGGCACCTTTGCCCTGACAGCCTTCCCCAAACAGATGCTGCCTGGGAATTAGGGGAACTGTAGTCTCAGCACATCTGGAAGCCACCAGGATGGGGGAAGCTGATCTGCGGTATAATACGGGCCCTCTAGATATCTTTGGGAAATCCAGAATTCTAACGCGGTTGGGAAAGTGTGTAAAGCCCACTTGCTCTCCCAGCCCAAAAGATGAGAGGAGGGGAAAAGCCCCAGAGACAGTACAACCTGCACCTCCTTCTTACTCAGACCCCATTAGCTCCATTCACACAGTCCTTTACCCAATTTTCTGAGTACCCGTGATCCATCGGATCATAAACTAACATTAGCCTCGAAGAGACTAACCAAGTTATCCATTTTCTGCAAATGCCACCTGTAGGTTTTTAGCTGAGCTGGGTTAGGCATGGATTCAGGGCAGGGATGATTGGAACATTGTAGGAGTGGGGAGAGCTGTGTTAGTCAATGGTAGCCAAACAGAAGGAGTGTTTTCAACCAACATATTTTATTAAAAGGCAGAAGCTTTGGTGAGATGCAGCTCATTTCTTCAGATGCATGGAGTGGCTACTATGCAGTGATTACTTTCATGTTCAAGCGCTGAGTCCTTGTACATACAACAGTTCTGCTGGTAGAACCCCAGGCAAGCTTTGTGTAGGTTGATAATAGCACCAAGAGGAGGAAAACGCTCATTCTTTGCAAGAAACAAGCCATGGAAAGGGAGTAAGTGATGTATGGAAAGGCTCCTTCTGAGGCAGTAGCCGAGACAATGAAAGGTAGATCATGATGCCTGGTTCAGCAATTTAATGTTTTAGAAGAGAGATGTCAGCAGTTGCCCGTTTTCTGTCCGACTCTCCTCCTTTGCAACCACTTCCGCATCAATCCTTTTAAAAGGACTACTTGGTGGCCCAGTATTCAGCTCGGAAGCTGATGTTGGCAAAGGCTTTGTTGAACTCAATCTCAGCTCGGCTGCCAACGGATTCCCAGTAGAACAGCTGATTCCCATGGAAGACTGTGGTCCTCATGGATTTGACATCTCGAATCTGAAAAAGGGAAGGTTGCTTGCCTCTGTCAATGGCTGTTTGGAACTTGTTTCTATTGCAGATTTTAGGTACAACCTGGACTTACACATCACACCAAGCCATGTTTGTGACTCCACCTGAATTGGTTGGATTATCCCACCATCCTAATCATAAACCATGCTTTAAGATCTAAATTGTTTCTTTTGCGCATGACACAAAACCCTAACCATACAAGTTTAGCGAGAACCCCGAATGCAGTCCAAAGTCCAAGATTCCTTAGACTGTGGTTGTCATGATCCCCCAAAACCTGTGCTTTGCCAGCATGCAACTTGTGGCCCCTGGAGCAACTCAACTGTTAGTGGGACCAAATATTTGGCCCTTTATTACATTTTGAGGGTGGTAGTGGAGATTTTAAAGACAACATGGGTGCTTTAACCATGCCAAGAAAACCCTTACCTATAGTTTGAATGGAGCCTTTGATAGGCACACATAGTCCAGTGGTGATCCTTCAGCTGCTGGAAGGCCATACCCCCGCCCTAATGTACCCCAGTTCATGCTTACTGAAATATAGCTGGAGTGTGTTTCGTTGGCATTTGTCCTGACTTCCACATATACTGCATGAATGGCAATGCGCAGTTGGGGGGCCACATCGATAAATATCCTGCAAGTCATTTGCAGTTCCCCATCCAGCAATGGTACTGGATTCAGGATGAGTCCATGGGGACCAAACAGCTGCATATCACAGGCTGTAGAGCAAGAAGAAACAGACCGTCAGATTATATGTGCGCCTAGCTTGATTTCAGGAGCAGCAGTCCTCTGGCCATCTCTGGATAGCGCACGCAGCACAGGACAGCACACCTTGGTGGTATTTCTTATCGGCCACTCTGCTGGTGTAGCGTAGCACAACTCCACTGCCAGGCAACAGGCGGCGCTGCCTCACCATTAGCGTGTTGGTCTGGGTGTTTACCATCAGCAGCTTCAGCTTCTTACAGGCCGTCCGCCACATTGTCCGTGTAGAAAACAGTATTATTTCTCCTGGAGTGAAAGACAGGATGGGCGAATGCTTCCAATTTCCAAGTTTACAATTTTCGTACTTTATAAATCTGGCTACTGTCTGGGAGCTGCTGCAGAGTTCACACAACACCTAAAACCCTAAACAGGGACTAGCGAATCGAAAGAGGTGTTTCAGACACAGCTGGCTTTCAAACCAGTTCAGTGACAAACCAACAGTTGTACTTACACAACCTGGTTATTTTTTTGTGGCTTGGCATGTAAGGCAGATCCAGCCCATTTGGTTACTTTAGGATCCAACATCCTATTTAGCAATCCAAAACACCCAGCCTATTGCTTGGAGAACTGAAGTACATAAAAAATTAACACAACAGATTTGCCCCCCCAAACCAGACTTTGACGTTATTGGTAGACTGGATTAGATATTATACTGGAGCAGAAGAACTGGAAGCCAAGGCTGGATTCCCTTTGCATTCTCTTGTTTTCTTCAGCAAGTATTCCAAAGCATTCTGACACGATTAGTTGAATCCAGCAGCAGAGTTGGATAATTGTGAACTCTGGACTTAATTATCTTAACATGTTTTATATTTCGGTCATGCATGCACACTTTGGATGGTTATAACTGCATTCACACAACTCAGTTTATTGACCAATTAACCTATTTTCTGGTTTATCTTGAACTACAACCAACTAAATGGGATGCACAATGCTCTACACCACCCAAAACAAACCAGGTTTAATCCTAACAAGGCATAGTGTGTTGTGAGAATGCAGTATCCTGGTTAACTGTGTTGTGCAAATATAACCAACAATCGCCTATCACAAGATTTTCAAAATATTCTAAATGAGATCTCCTGCTCCTCCAGCAGTGAAGTCCTGGACTTCTATCCTGAACTGTTACTCTGATGGTACAAGCCAAGATCTGACACATTCAGGAACATGCTACAGAGCAGAGCAGGCCGATAAGAAAAGAGTGCTTGGGGGATGAAACAAGATACGAATTTGAAGCTTCCTGGGTGATTATCAGCACCAATCTGTGAAATACCCACCTGCACTGCAGTTCAAGGAGCTTTCCAACACCTGGACTGTTATCATCTGCCCTAAAGGGCGGCCTATGGCAACAGTGCAGATCCTGGCTTGCACACCGGTCATGTTGATTAATCCACTGGGACTGAGCAACTGTCTTCCACAGATGCCTAGATGAAAAAGCCAGAGGAGGAGGAGACACAGAGACAGGAACAGATGAGTCACACACCTTTGAAATTTACAATAAACTCCCAGTCCCAAAATAGAACTGGTTTCCCCCTCACATCCAACACCAGATAATGAAGGGTTTTATCACATAGATGCGTTGGACCTGACATCCCCCGCTGTTGGAGAAAACCACCCAAAAGGAACGTTCCATTTTTAGCCATAGCTTGAATCTTTCTAGAGAAATGAGCTCAGTGCGAAACAGGGGCATGGAAGTGAGAGGGGAAGATGTACACTGAGATTAAGAAGCAAGAAGCCTCTGAACATATCCTCAGCCCAGGAATTTGTGATCAGGATTCAGAACAAAGTTGACAGATCCTTTCACATAAAAATGCACTCCTGGTTTTCCCCCAAGCATTCTTCCTAGAAGCCTGAATTGTGGAAAATAGGAGAAGGCATGTGATTTTTATCATTGGCTGCTATTCATAGGTAATTTATCCAAAGATCTTGGTTTATCTTGATGAACTCATCTGCAGCTAAATTTCTCCGAAGGGAAAAAAGAAAGCACAGTGACAGCTCCTAGCTGATGTAGCTTATCCTCTAAGGCTAAGCAGGGCTGAAAAAGTAGGGGAACATGACTTAACTATTTTCCCTTGAGTTCATGTCGTTTGCTTGGCAATAAGAGAAAAGCGGTTTTCTATTGCTTCCTTCTGGAATGTTTGCCCCCAGTTTCACCTGCTACCCGGGGATTTCCTGGAGCTCTCCTATCCAAGTGCTAATCAGGTTTGACTTGACTTAGCTCTACATCTTTTTAGACCTTTCTTGTTGAAATCACTGGAGCTCAAATGTGCTGGATTACCCTCCAAACCCAGACCTGTGTCCCAGTAACAAATCCTGCATCCAGTTAAAGCCCTGTTAACAACAAGCAGTGCTACATAACTGTGTTCCTCTGGGGTATCTCTCCAGGGTACATCTTTGGTTTCATTCCTGTGACGATCTTCTCCTTTGGACCATGGAAGTTCAAAGGCCTTGTACTGTGGTCCTTGTTGATGAACGGTAACCTCAGGGGTTGTCAGGAGGTCTACAGCTGGAGGCTGTGTTGGGACATCCAGTCGAAGGTCTGCCTTCATCATGGCCTGTTCAAGGCAGGGGGCGATGGAACACATTCTCACCATCATGGGCTTAGGAACATGCATGCACAAGATGGGGTTCACCCGTGTCTTGGTTTGGGGATTGATGCAGAAATCCTGCCGTCTCTGGATGCCAGTCCCACAGGACACAGAGCACTGGAAGGAGAGACCCAGAGATTATCACCATCATCTCTCTGCAACCTGGGCTGGAACACAGAAAGTGACAGGCAGGCT